TGTTGTGTACAAAATTAAATAAAAACAGATAATAGTAATAATTACAAAATACACATAAAGTTTATTTCGTAACTTTAACCACAAACAAACAAATGTCAAAATCGCAAAATACAAATTCAAAAACCTAACCTCTAAAAGTATTAATTGATTGCCAAAAGTTGTAAAAATAGTTTAAACAAATAGCTGAAAATCTTTTAATTTAAATAAAACCAATATGTCTGGAAAGGGTAACATATACTATAGGACTACTTTAAACATAAAGAAAAGAATAATTACAATTTTTAGGATCGCATAGAAATAAACATTATGAAAAGAAAAATAAGGTTGCAGTTGGTGAAAAAGCTAGAGAAGCCCTGGAACAAATTGATGAAAATAGTCCTATAATTAAAATGTTTCGTCAGTATGCTATTGAGCTGGATGACAAACACGATAGACATGAAAGAATTGTTAAATTAAGCAGAGATATAACTATAGAGAGCAAGAGAATAATCTTTTTGTTGCATGGTAGTAATGTGGATTTGTAAGTATTTAGTTTCAGTAGCATGAACAAAACTTTCAGTAAGACTTAATACATAGGGAAACCAAACGGGATATTATATTAAAAGAAGCCGCAATGAGGCTTGAAATGCTGAGTAAAAACTTTAAATCCATTGCCACAGAGTTAAAAGATATGGATGCATATCAGTATTTAAGAGCATATACTGCAGGACTTCAAGAATATGTGGAAGCTGTTGCATTTTACCAGTTTTTAAGATTTAATGAGTTAGAAACTTGGGAAAATTTGCAGGAAAAATTTCGATTTTCTAAAGAAAATGATCACCCTTCTCAATCAGAAATTGTGAAACTACTTTTTCCAGCTACTGAATTTATATTAGGCATAGCAGATTTTACTGGAGAACTGATGCGCAAGTGTATAAATAGTTTAGGCTCTGGAAACATTGAAGATTGTTTTAAAATTTGCAACATTGTCAAGCAAATATATATAGGGTTTTTAGGTAGGTGTATTGGTTTTTTTTTGCATTAAAGATTTTCAAATTTTTATCTATAAGGAGTTTAAACAATATTAACATTATAGGAATAAACCCCTCAAACAACAGGGAACTGAAAGCTAAAATGTATGTACTAAAACAGAGTTTGTTGAAGATGGAAAATGTTTGTTATAATATTAAAGTCCGTGGTAGCGAAGTTCCAAAGCATATGTTGGCACAAATTGCAATTGCAAATACTGAACAAAATGAGGAAATAGATGAAGGATTTTTTTAAGACTTTAAAGCCATGTCTTTTCACAAACATTTATTTTTCTTTTTAATTTCTACTACTTGACACCATAGATAAACAGTTGTATGATTTCGTATAATTTTAATAAAATATATATGTATAGAGACAACATATTTTATACCAATCTTTGTCTAACATTTACATGGTGGTAAAACAGGATTGCCTGAAAGAAATTTTAAAACCATTAACAATATATTATTTTACTAAGACAGAATGATTTTATAAAAATTGTAACGTCACTTAAAAATTGTCTATTTAATTTAGTTAATTTTGCAGCAAGTTCATTAAATAAATTCTGAAGNATAAAATTTTAAAAATGAATTATACTACTCTAAACCGTCTCAAAAGTTAAATACAAATTAATAATGTGTGTCAAAATAATTTTTTTAATTTCTTTCACATATCCTTAGCTTTTACATCAAAATTACACGAAAAATTGGCAATGTCTACTTACTTACTAATTTGTGCGTTTCGACTTTTTAAGTATCATGGAAGAAATACTGGAAATGTAATGTTTTGTTTGTTTTTTATAAATGCAATGCATAGGAAGTTTTATGTATTAAAACACATTTAATAAGTATAGAAAATGGAAAAATTGAAAAAGCAACCAAAATGATTAATTATAGGCAAACAGGCGTAATGGACAATTATTTAACTTAATGTCAGTAAAATATATTGATTAAATGAGAAGATTGGCTCAGGATAGGAAGTATTAGAGGTGTTTAGACTTATGAATTAAGAAAAAAAGAACAAGTCTCATTACGCTTTGTCCATACTAAATTAAATATGCAGTTAGATAATTTTGGATTATATTAACCCGAATTTTTCAGAAAAATGTTATTTGCCAAAATTAAAAAAAACCTTTAAAATTAAAAATTAGTGCTACCACTTTTGATGAGCAATCAAAAGGGGTAACAATATCTTTATCACCCTGTACTTTGTGTACCTTTTAGTTTCACAATATCTAATGTTTCTTTTGCTGTATATATGCAAAAGATTAACAGTAAGTATAACATGTATGAAAGACATTCAATCACAACGGTTTTTGATGTAGAATTTCTCCATATTAAAATTACTGTATAGGATGAAGTAAAATTTTAATTGGGAAATTTAAAACATTTCTGATATTCTGCAAGATTTCCTTCAACTGCACCCAGATAGCAAAAGCTATACAATATTATTTGTAAGCATCAATGACACTGATAAAACATGTTTCCTGAAGAAGTTGCTGTATACAGGACATTTGAAAAGCTTATTTTAAAGCTTCTTTAATGTTCTGAGGAATCTTGCTAATTATGTCATCATGATCAATCCCTTTAGCTGTGGCCAAAACACCTCCAGAATTAGGAAATTGAACATCCTTGTCATATGAATAAGGAACTCCACTTAGATTTGTCAATTTTCCCCCAATGGCATTTAAAATTGCTTCTGGAGCACATGTATCCCATTTTTTGCAACCTGCACTTGCAAATACATATGCATGGGCTTTACCCTCAATCAGCAACAAAACCTGAATGATGTTGTAGCATAAATATTAGTCTTAATACATAAATAAAATTCTTTAACTTACTTTATAGCCAGCCCCCCCAACTCTTAAAACTTCATCAGGATGCAAAGCATCTAGTGCTGATGTCACTAATGTGTTAGAATGAGATCGTGTGGTGGTAACAATGAATGTTCCAAGAGGAGCTGCTTGTAGTACAAGACCCTCTACTCCTAGCCCAATTAAACCCCAAATAGTACGTCCAAAACTATTTGAATTACTTTTGTAATTATAGTATGGCTGATGAATAACACCACCAATAGCTTTACCCTTCACAGCAACTCCTATAAGAACTGTCACATGTTCAAGAAGACCCTATAATACAAGTACTATAAATAAATGGCTATTTATAAATTAATCAGTATTTATTTAGATATTATTTCACCTGTGTAAATTCAGATGTTCCATCTAATGGATCAACCCAAACCACTATGTCTTCTTCAGGTATCTGTTGGTATTCTGGGGGGCATTCATTTAGGAGTACTGACTGTTCACAATCTGTTACAACCCAATCACTAGGAACCTACAGTGCATTATGAAATATTTCTATTGACAAAAACATAACAAAATTTTTGATATAAAACTTACCTCTACATTACTAGTTTGTTCTTCCTCTCCAATAATATTTAAGTTAGGATACTGTCTTGAAAGGGAAGCAACAATGCATCTTTGAGCTGCTCGATCTGCTTCAGTTTGGAGATCATTTTTACCCTAATGATGTGTGATTAATTACACTAACAGTAATTATTAGATAAATTAATTATGAAAGGAATGTCTGTTTCAAAAAGTGACTAAGCATGAAAACTAAAGTGGTTTTCTTACCTTCTCAACAATTCCTAGATCACCTGCTGTTAATATATCACGAATTATTTTTCCGGCACGATTAGCAGCAGTTACAGAAGAAGCAATAATACGTAAAACTAGACTTGACGAACTCGCCATTGCTGTTTGAAATGTATTTTGGGACTTCTTAAAATTATTTATAAAAAGAATTACCCATGTACACCGTAATATTCATGCAAGAATGCTTTTATCACTTTCAAATTACCTATAACCTTGTAGCACCGCAATAAAAACTGTTCCTTGAAATAAACGATAGAAAGTACATGTAAAAAGTGTTACATTGTAAAATTAACGAATTTATTTTGAAGAATTAAACATACTAATTTCAAAACATAATTAAAACAATCGGTACTACTTAGTGCAGATTTCTAACAACATAAAAGAAAGGTTATAAATTGAGTTAAAAGTTGAGATCGGCAACACATTTTACATTACTGTAATCCTTTAGACAGTATGTACTGACCTTTTCCGCATTTTAATATAGGAAATTGGGATAGAGAAAAATTCAAATATTTTGCTGCATAGAAAATTCATTTAAAATTTTTTCTATAGATTTTACAGGTTTATGTAGAAAAAACTTGTCTTTTCAATGGGATAAGTAATTCGTAAATATATTGAATTGAAAACAAATGTACATGCACCTGAGAACTGAACATTTGTTTGTTCATTAAAATATTTTTTAACGCTCCTGGTATACTTAGTATATTTTCATTCATTGAATTATTTAACCCAAAGGAGCCTCAAAATGACATTGAAGGTGAAGTGAACGGCAAAAAGCACAAAGCTATGATAAGGATCGTAACTACGTATAATAATGAAATGTGTAGATTTGTTTTCATCGCGGTTTAGTCGATATCTGTTGTTGTTAAACATTTAAAAATTAATGTTACTATTTTACGCTTAATTAGTTGGTTTTACTATTTGTGATCAGGAACATGGTACATTTGTGTTTTAAAAGGAAAATTTCATAGGATCGTATGGAAAATTAACCAAAATAATGAATAAGTGAGTGGCAAATAACTAAAGTTTTTTATTTACAATTAAATGATATAGAATACACGAAGAAAACTAAATGAATGATGTAGTAGATTGTAATAATCTCCATTTTTACGTGATTTTCTTATTATCGTTTCAAATTCTACAATTTGATTTCAATATGTTAAGATACAATTAAACATTGTAATAATTATCAGCCTTATCATAATGGCATTACTTTAAAATGTACAGTAATTCTGTTTGCCCTTTTATTCATTCTAAATTGTTTAACATTAAAAGTTGCTTGAGAACTTTGGTTTGAGAAGTTTCCCTAATTTCTCCAGCAAGAAACATTTCATCTACTACTGTATACACCTTATAAAAATTAAAAACAAGATCCAATTCACACACATTGTGAAAATACTCGTTCAATACTTCCACAAAGTTATGTATTGCTTCCAAATATGACAAATTGTTGTCATTTACATCAACACATATGCAAAAGTACAATCCTGCATAACGGCGATAGACAATTTTAAAGTTTCGAAACTGAAAAACACTTGCATTAACAACTTAATAAGTCATGCAAATCACTGACTGAATCATGTAAATATGCAATACGAGCATGGTATATTTACCTCAACAAAGTTAGTGTGCTTTGCATCCCTTACAGTTACCACTGCATGAACTTCTTCAATGAGTTTTTGCTTCTCATCATCATCAAAATTCATGTACCACTTAGCTAATCTGGTCTTTCCAGCTCTATTTTGAATAAGGATAAAGCGAATCTAAAATAAGTAATTGTGTAAATTACTTATCTAATTGGAGGAATTCCTTAACCTAATTTTATATTACTGGCCCACTTATTAACAAAACAAGTGTTTCTTTTGGCAAATTTTCTTACCATTTCCTGTGATATTTTAGAAAATTATCCAGAAAGTATCCGCCTTCTTTTTTATATCTACACTACACAATATAACGGTAGGTTAAGCAGCAATTCGACCTTTTATCATTTTAAAAAGATAAGTAGTGAAGAGCTTCACTTGTAAGCATCGTTGCTATTCTATATCTCTATTATTCGGTCCAACAAAAACACTCTAATTAAAGTTCAGGATTAATCACTACGAGAAAATAGTAATTTGCAGGATTTAATATACAATTTTAGGAATACACATTACATTTTACTTTACAAAAGGGCAGATTCTTTTAACATTATTATTAGAATACAAAAAAGAATGTGTCTAAAAAGCACAGGATCGAGGGAAACAATTTTCATTATTGATTTATACCTAACTGAACGGGAGGAATCCAATACACCAAGCTAAATAAGAAAATATAATAATTTTTCAAAATGAAACGCAAAATAGTAATCATATTTTCAAAAATTTAAATCAATAGATGATAAACTTCCATTTTTTTTAGCACTTTCGTAATAAGTAATAACCTAAATATTCATAATTTTCTAAATTAAATA